TTATACTGGGATGAACTCATGGATATTTACTTTATACTTTGAGTTACAATCCAGTACTACTTTACACGTCCTCTTGCTCGAGTTGTTCCTGCTTGGGTCACCGGGAGCTTCAAGTTGGCCCTTATACTGTGTGTGTGTGTGTGTGTGTGTGTGTGTGTGTGTGTGTGGTGTGTGATTTTTGCACTTCTTACTTACTAGAACTACGAGATGTCCCGCATGCATCCAGAGTGTTCCCGGCCAGCCCTAGAATCAGCCATTTCTCCAGGGAGCCTGTGTCCCCTTCCCTACCGAATGGTGTGCCGCTACACCTGGGCATCGCTGCTTCCAGGTTTCCTCACCTTGGAAATACACGAGTGCATACTGTGAGGGAAGAAATATTTTCCCTCTGCTCTTCCAGTCTCCACAGCTAGGCCTACGACTTAAAGTGGTAATAGATTAAGAGGAAAGATGGTGCGCGCATTCATTAAAATTTAATATTACATGTACAGGAGCGCCACGGGAAAAAGCGAATACCCTCCCCCCAAGGCAGTGAGGTCTGAGTACTTACATACCACCCGAACGGGGCCAGGGGGTGGGGAGCAGGCAATCTGGGCGACTGCACGATTTTTAGGAGATGAATGGGCTCCTAGAAGAACAGATGGGAGGCGTGAGGACTCGTGACATCTGTCGGGGTGTGGCATCGACTTCTTGTCTCCTCGCCTGCGATGAGAGTCAACGTCCCGGGCGATGAGAGTCCCAGCGAAGGGACTTGTGTCCACCGAGTTCCTTTTGGAGCATCTGTCCTTAGGCAGATGAGAGGAGTCCAGAGAAGGCCTCTCCCTGCGTTTGCTGTTTTACGAGGGCCAACAGCTGAAAGGAAATAAAATCAACGCACCAACGCGGGTACTTGGGGGCGGCGTGCCCCGAACCCTTTCAGCTGACCCCTGGGACCTACACGCGTCTATACGAACTTCCGTAGTTATTTACCTGTATCTCTAGTCGGGTAACCTGAGTTCATGCTGACGTTCCTTGCTCCGTATTTCCATTACAAAGTTGGCAGCATATGGCGTCTGCTGTTCCATTTCAATCTTGCTACGACTACACCGCAGATCTAAGAAGCCCCGCCCAGCCCCGAGGCCTCCTCTGCGGACTAAACACGGCTCTACTGGGGACGACGCCCTGGTGGAACCCGGAGAGCAGTGGACATTCGAGGACACAGAGGAGTCGGGCGGGCGGACAGATCCCTGCCAGCTGGCGACGGCGACAGGGAAACGCAGTCTGGCTGTCCTTTGGGGACCTGCTAGTGCCGTCTCTCCTGGGAGGAACATTTCTTACAGTCACTGATGGAGAGCAGTGACTCATCTGCTCGACGGCCAGTGTGAGTGGCAGTTTGTCTTAATGTGGCAGAGATGAAGCAGTAGCACCTCGCACTTATAAATGACATCAGTAAAGCACCTATAATTAAAACGAGCATTAAAGTTTAGGTCTTTCTGTGTCTAAATCTTTTCGCATTGCAAAAATAATGTCTGCTTTGTTAGCGAAGGCTCTTGCGAGCCAGACTGGTGGGAAAAAGCCCGCCTCATCGACTTGGGTGTCAGTGACAAGTAGGGGAGGGAAGTCATAAGGCACGTCCATCACGATGGAGGCAGCTGTGACTGACAGCCAGGTATGGCGCTTTTAAGAAATGGGTCTCAAAGGGTGCAAAAGGGAGAAATGCCCGAGGAGAGCTGGTTTTGCCAACATCAGCTCTATCTGTGCATCTTATAAAAATATCTGAACACAAAACTGACGGCGAAGGAAAATGTGTGAGAACCAGTTTTGAAATGCACTGGGAGATGGCACTAAAGATACACCGTAGCCTATCATTCCAGCTCGTACGGTCAACAGCTGATGTGAGAAACTGTCACTTTTCAGGTAGACAGAACGAGTGGAAAGAAAAGGAATATGAAAGAGGACCCCAGGATGGAGCAGTGTAATTGAAGACTTGCTATAATAAAGATTAACTAAGATCATAATACGTTTTAGCATGTTTTCACAGATTAAAAGGTAAGACTTTATGAAGGTATTAATAATATTCTTTTAATCACTACACACTGATGATCTTTACTGGCTTGTAGAATCTGCCTGTATGCAGAACGTATCCACGTGTACTGGCACGTGTGGTGTTGTTTTACGTGAGAGCACTGGTGAATGACTATATTTATTTTGGTGTAACATTTTTAGACCGTGTTGAAAACATAACATCATGCAACATAAACCAACAGATTAGTCTGAAATTTTACTCTGGAATCAAAGCAAGATACTGTTTGTAATTCTACACACATAACATAATACTCTTGGCCTATACAATGGAGTAAAACTTAGAAAAGTATTTTCACAATCAACTTCATTTTGCAAATTGCTCAGATCCAGAGCAGAACTGTGCACGCGCTGGCGAGCGTGGCTCTGCACTTGTCTGCCAAGGTGAAGGAGCGCCCCGGGACATCACGCCCCTCTGTGCGACGTGGCTGCACAGAGCACGTTCCTGTTCAGCTTGTTAGGTCCTTCGTTCCTTGTTTTTATGATCATTTTGATTGACGAAGCACTAATAGATGAAATTAATGAGACTTCACAAAGATTTCAGTCAAGGAATTGGGAATCACGGCATCGTAATTGAATTTCCTTGTATTTATCTTTTGGCAACAAGGAAATAATCATATATTTTAAGGCTCTCAGTGTATGAGCTTCCCATGGATCGTGAAGAATGTCCTCTCTAAAGTGTGAATGTTTATACTTAATTATAACAACTAGCATTTAGTGAAAGCTTGCTACATATAAGGCACTGAAGTAACACATGCAATGACATGCTCAGGCCTAACGATGACCCAGTTTTAGAGATGAGGGTCTGGGGTATGAGTTACACAAATTGTATGATTAGTAAATGGCAGAACCAAGTCTTAAATTCAGATCTGACATAAAGAGATCATTTTATCTGAAAATTTGTTTATACATTGTTCTAATATTTTCCTGTAACCAAAGGGAGAAATCACACCAAACACTGTTCTAGTTTTGGTGTGTAATGGGCTCGGGGCCATTGTTTTGCTTGATCATGCCCACTCCTAAGGTTCCAGAGATAAAGTAGCAGCCTAAAATGCCTCTTAAGGGCCTCCAAATGTCCTGGAGACTGGAGAAAGCCCTTTTTAAGAGCCTACTGAATCACGGAATCTGGCCGCTGGTTCTTTTGTGCTAAAGGCAAACAAGGAAGTCGTGACCGGGGCCAAATCTCCAAGTCACGAGTCAGTTGCACTAGCGTATCGGGGGTGGAGAGGGAGTCAAGGTTTTTTTCCAAACGAGTTCTGCTCTGTCATTGAAATTGTTCTTTTAAACATGCTCCAGAAGTTTGAAGATTCAAACTGCTTTGGAACTAGGGGAATGGGGCAGAAAGCACAGACTCGACCACTTGGGGGCTTGGACCTATCCAGCCCCCAAGACACTCCCAAGACGGTTTGTCTTGTCTGCTGAGGCCCTGAGGGGCTCGTTCATTCAGGAAGGCCTCGTAGACCTATGAAGGAGTAAGGACGTTATCGTAATGGCATCAGGAAGCCACCAAAAAAATGTAGGCCAAGGTCAGAGTCATGTTTTAGAAAGATTATTCTGACTATAAAGTAGAAAAATGAAGGGAGGGAGACCAAAGTCTGAGAGGAGGCTGGTGGGGACGAAGTTAGTGAGGCCGTAAGTGCAGAGAGTGGGAAAGGCAAAGACAGGACCTGGTGATCAGGTACATGTGGGCCGGACAGGACAGGACTAGGTCATCTGCTGAGATCGGAAACATAAGGAGAAGGTTTGGGGGAAGGGTGCTCTGTCTTTTGTTTGGACACTGAATTTCAGGGGGTAGGGGAAGGCAAGCACACATGCTGGGCAAGCAGCGGGATGTGCGGATCCGGTGTCCTGGTCAGTGCTGGGCTGGAGAAGCAGCCTGCAGCGTGGCTCGCATGGAAGGCCACTAACGCCATGGCAGTGGTGACACCGCACGGTGATGTGCTGTGATGAGATCGGGCTGTTGGAAGGAACCCCAGGAATACCAACAGCTAAGGGCTGGGCACCCCGAATCCAGCAATAATCTCGAAACCATGATTGGTCTCCTTGGCCAGTACTAACAGGTATGAAAGTCTAATTTCTCTCCTTTTCCTTCACCTTGTAAAGCCGTAAATTGGCGATGAAAACATTTTAAATAGCCAGAAATCCATCAATACTTGTAATAGGTTAAGGTATAACTCTAAGCCGCCCACACAGCCCTGACTGCTCAGTGCCCAGCTGTGCCTGCGCCGAGCTAGCTTTGCCCCGGCCCCCGACTCTCGCCGTAACCCTCTCCCTCGGCTCTGTAACTGTCTCCTTTTCCCCGACATCCGGACAGTCTTTACTGGGTTTGCAGCTCAGTGACAGCTCAGAGAGCTTTGCTCTGATTAAAGCATGTGCTTTAACAGAGAGGTTGGTCAGAAGACGGTCCTGGTCTACTACTGTCACTTGGAGATCCACACCCAGTTTTGGGCAGGTCGATGGGGATTTGCCTCAGCATCTCCTCTTACATCTGTAGGAGCAGAAATGGGGTTGTGGCCTCTACAGAGGCCTAACAGTGGTGAGTTGATAAATGTAACTGGCTTGCCAGGGAAAAGGAGCTCAGATCTGCTGTGTTTGCCAATTTTTACAGTGCAAACACTCCCCTCAAGGCAACTGCAAGCTACTGACTCGATGTCACCAAGGGCAGGGTGGAGACAACATGTCCACAGTTGGCTCAGGCTAGCCAGCACGAGCACACTGCTAGACCCAGAATGATCTGACTGGTGGCCAGGCATGGGACAATGCCTTCTGTATGACAGCTTAAGACACGAGAGGACTGAATTCTACAATATACTGAGCTTTTACTTTAAGGAAAATGGATTTATTCATCTGTAGGCAGTTCATTCATAGATCTTGACCTCTTTCGTTTTCAGCAGAGGGCTGCTGGTATGAGTGATAGTTACATTAAGAATCTAATAACATAGTTTGTAACTTTTATATCTTTATTTATAAGCAGTAAGTGTCTAAAATTGGTTTGTTTCTGAGACTGAAATGATTGAGAATCATTTTAAATCTAATTTCTTACAATACGGACCAATGAAGTTACCAGTTTCTTTTTGTTTCAGGATATAGCAGCATAATCTGCATTCTAATGTATTTCATGAAAGAAAATATTTCACTTCCATCGAATAAGCAAAGTTTTTTCCCAGTCAAAGGAGACAATTTGATAGTATGCTGCTCTAACCAATACTACATAACGGAAGAATAACGGCAGATGTCTCGTCTCTGTATGCGATTTAGTATGCACCCTATGAGCAGTGCAGGTCCACGGTGCGACGGACTGCTAAATAATCACTACCAAAACTTACTTTAAAAATATTTTCAACACTCTGCACTGGTGGAACCAGAGCTGTTATTATGCACATTATATCTTTTTTACATTCTAAAGGGAAATTAAAATTCCCAATAGCATTAGAAAAGAATGTACTTTTAAGTATTTAATGCGGATATACAAAATCTCATGACTTCTATTAAAAACCTTGAAATTCTACTGTGCACAAATGAAGACACCTTTCGAAATGACATGCACTTATGCTGAGATCATAAAGGTTACTATAAAAGTATTGCAAACCCAATAAAAACACAATGATATGGTACAAAGTCTTTTTTTAAGTAAAACTTTAAATGGTCTGCATTTATACAAATGCACAATACTTTTCAGTGCCCTCTGGCATTTTTGTTCAGGATTAACTGATTTTAGAAATCTAAGTTGAACATTTTACATTTTTAAAAATCAGTTTTCTGCTGCAGAATGGAAGACACTGACAACTTGTAGAATAATACATTTTTAAAACAGGATCGGGTAAAAACTTTACAAAGTGGAACAGTAAACATTTTATATGCTTTAGTTACTGCCCTGCCAAAGATTAAAATGCCTCATTTTCCTCTGATTTAACTTGACTTTCTAGATAATTGTCTCAACTACCTCTCCTTTGTCTATATAGAAAGTTTCTGAGATGCAAGCGTAAAGATTTTAAGTTCTCTAGCAAAATTCAAAATATCAGTAAGCCATTTTCCATGTTCAAAGTGTATTTAAAGAAATGCTTATTTCCATATAAAACCCCCAAAGTGCTGAATCAAGACACATTAATAACATGGCTGCCCAAACACTGCCCTGGCTTCAGCCGTAGAAGGTTACTCTCACGACTGGCTGTTAAGTCCCAAACGTGAGCGTTTGCCTTTCCACTGCCATAGTGTGCTTTCTCATACAGAGATCAAAGAAAATGCGTTCACTTGGTTTTCTTAAAAGAATGGTAAAGTATTTCAGGTAAATCAAGTTTCTTGGGGAAAAAAATTATGCCAAGATAAGAAATGGATTTTTAAAATCTTAGAATAATTGCTATAAAAGAACTATAAAATTTAAATTTCTGGGAAAAAAATACACTTAAAATGTCTCTCTAGGAAAAAATATGCAACTTGTTAGATACAAAAAAATATTGCATCGCCATGGGGGTCAGCCAACTATGGACCTGGCCACAGAAAGTAATTAGCACCCAAAATGTCTAAAACTTCAAATGATATACTAAAGTGATTCCAGGCCCAAGCCAAATCATAAAAGTTACATTTCACTTGGGAAGTTTCTCCAGTGATAAATAAATCCCTTTCAATCTTCAGATGTGCTTGCTGTTCTGATTTCCAACAAAATATTTACATCGTGTATAGTAATTATCATTTACATAGATTAAGGCTGAGCAGGGCTGATAGAAATCCAAATTATTTCCCAAATTTGCTGAGGGTGGGCGAGGAGCAATTCTCCAATTAAAATTTATTTTTGGCTCCCTGTTTCATCCTTTTTCTTCTAAAATGTTTTATTGGGGCTCTTTACAAGACCTATATTGCCTGATTTGAATTCCATATCCTGTTATTTTCCCTGCTCACTTTTTGATGGTTGTACTTAAGATTTGGCATGGGAATAGGGGTGTTTAAAAGTGGGCACAGATCACGGTAGTAAAATAAGTTTTGCATAAACTACAAAATGTGTATTCAACCCTGTTATGATCAAGAGTTGAGTTCAATTTTAAACAACATCCACTTATAAATTTTATTACAAAATAGCACACAATTTGAAAAAAGGCAAACTTTTCAGCTTTCATGTAGTGAAATATGTAACTTTGCCGATTACATATATGGCTACCAAATGCGAACAGCTCATGGGCCACATTTCATTGTTGCACATAAATAATGACAAGGCAAAGGACGGCTACTAGTCCAAGGGCTTGCAGGCCAAGAAACCACAGCATAAGCCAGAAGAAAATGACTATCACGGGCTCCACAGTTCGTTCTCCAAAATACATCCTCGAGAAGCCCATGTTGATGAGGCTTTTGTTCAGTTCACCAAAAAGTGTCCCCATCTTTTTGTAGTCATCTCCGAGAGGCTCGCCGGTGTGGTTTTGTGATTCTTCAACATCCTTAAAAAAAAGAAGAAGGAGGAGGAGGAGGAGGAAGAGGAGGAGGAGGAAGAGGAGGAGGAGAAGAAGAAGAAAAGAAAGAAAGAAAAAAAGAAACAAGACAGACATAAACATAAATTTAGAAATAGGTGAAGGTCTTTAAGAAAAACAGCTATCTCATAGTTCTGTATCTTTCAAAGACAGTTCTTTATACCACATCATCTTTGTTAAAATAATTGGTTTAGGTCCTTTCTCCACATTAGTCCCTAATCCTTCAGGAGTAATGATTCAAATAATAATTATGTATTGAACATCTCCTTGTTCGTAGTAGATGCAAGACGGAAAATTACCCATATGTAAAAAAAAAGGAAAGCTTTAGGTGTGAGGTCTCACATAACAAATATTAAGTTCCCGTGATGCAGTCTAGGCCAAAGTTAATTATCTTAAAAAGAAAAAAAACCACTTGCCGCAAAGAGCCAAGGGACTGGAGGGTTTGAGGCACGCTTTCAACACATGGATCACACTTAGACCCCTTCAGCAGAAACCAAGTCCTGATCATTTCAGTCATCAATAAATAAGCAAACATTTTCCTTTTAAAAATG